ATATATATATATATATGTGTGTGCGCGCGCGTATTTGTGCAGTCATGTGTGTCCTCTCATGCATGCGCTCACAGATCTGTGCTCTCAAATTTCTGCACTCATGTGACAATGTGTGCTCTCGAGTGTGTCCTCAAGCGTCAGTGCGCTCTTGGCTGTGTGTGTTTGCATTGTGCTCTCATTGAATCGTATCCGGTATTCTTGCCAGAAACGCGGATAGCTTCTTGCAACATCTTGGAACCTCATTGTATATTTTTTTAATCGTATGCTTGCCGGAATTGTGGTAGTTTGCCAGAACGTCATTAGATCATGGCTTCTGACATTTTGGAATCCTGTTTTCCGCATCGTATAGTCTCTGAATCTTGGTTTCAAAACCGTGTTTATGAATCGTAGTGTCAACATAATACTTGTGTTCCCCCGAAACTGACGGACTTCATTCCCACCACATACATGCGTTTTTTATGCATCCATATGACAGCCAACGGTCCAACGGTCAAGTGCCGGCGACCACGTCTTCGCCTGTCCAAACCATGTGGGCAAAGGAAGCCGCAATGCGGCCATAGGCCGATTCGAGGTCGCCCTGTCATTGGTTGAGACTTGCAGCGACCAGGGATTGATCACACATCGGTTGGGTTGAGATGGGGGAGTCTGGTCAACCTAAGAGAAGCCTACTTAGTGGTAAGATGCAAGCAAGACAGGTGCAACTAAAGATTCGTCTCAAGTGTGAAGCAAAGCAAGAAAACAACAAATAGTACGCAGTGTTCGCTAATCTGAGACTTAGGATTCAACAACATTGGTATTATGATGTATTTGAGAAGCCTATATATGGCCTGCAGTAATATGGTTCTTGGCTCTGATTGCCGTCGATGTCTTCCAGCTCGGCACGGTCTTTTGCCAAACCAGGTTGGCACGTTCTTGGTTCCTCAGAATGGTAACATCTACATCTGCTGGCATACCATTTGATCTACTCACAATAAGTGCTTTCCATCTACTGTACCCCCCATATCTGCATATCTTTCCACACATGGGCAGGATGGGTTTACCGGAAAGTCCTTTGCAACCCGGCCTCTCGGAAGGCCTTGTCAATACTTTCCCGGCCTGAGGTCTGGCGTTGCAGTCTAACCTGCTTTGACGATGTTTGGCTGGGACGGCTGGGGGATGTCACTCCCGTTGATCCTGTTGCTTCATGTTGATTCTCCGTCAGAACTGGGCGGCTGGGAGAAGGAGAATTCCAACATCAACAACGTGGGTCCTGAATCCTGAAGATCTCTACAGGAATATGATAACAGAATGAAACCATATGAAACTCGCCATCTCTCATTCCACGCCACCCGCCTTTCGGGGCGGACCCAACAGGAGCTTCCCTCCTCCTTTCCTCCCCGAGCAGCTGAAGATGTACATGAAGTTCTCCGTCGTTGCGAGGCCTCCCCCAGCCGCTACTCCGCACAGGGCCACCTCAGCTTCCCACGAGTGGGGCCCGGAGTGGGGCCCGGCGGGGCCAGACCCGGCCGTGCAGCCCCGTTCGCCGCCCGCGGGTGGGGGATTTCAGCAATAGGCCACCAATTGGATGTTCAGGGCTGTCTCATGTTCCACCGTGTAAAGAAGAATCGGGGTTCTCTGATGTTCTCTGGGTTCCAGGTGTTGGCCATTGTTGGCCTTGGCATGTCTTCCATCGGAAAACCGAAGGAATGGTGTCTATTAGAAGGGGGAGCACCCCAGTTGCATCTTCCAGCAACAGGACACGTCCATCACAGCAAGACCATGTAAAACCATGAACCCTTTGCTTGAGGGATCTGCCCTCACTTCTTTGAAACCGCACCCAGTTGAAAGTGTGCATGGTAGTCATCAGTCAGCGACGGTCCAGTCGTCCAAGAGGCTGCCAAAGGCGAATCGGCCAGGCGCATAAACCAGCCCTTCGGCACCTGTAGCGCTGCGCATCTTGATGACCATCTGGGACCATCTCCTATGATTGGAATTGACTTCCATTAACAAACACGCACGCACCCACCCACGCACGCACCCAGCAACCCACGCACCTACCCACGCACCCATCCGGTTTCGACTTGTTGGCTGCAGCTCATTTGGATGGACTTTCTGACCACATTGTTTACCCATGAAATGCAGCAACTTCCACAAGCCCATCACCGTGGTTCCAAGAACTGTTGCAAGTCCACCGGACCAGTCAAAGCATTCAAAGCCCGTAGCCGTGATTGGTGGTATTGACAACGGATGGGAATAGCTGGATACAGATTATAGCATTATAGTCTTTTCTAATTGACAATATCTGTATCTATTCTATTCATCACATATTATGTAGTATTTTGGGGAATCTCACACCCCAAAAAGGGATTTGCAGGGAGAAAACACCCTACCCGATCCCACCCGAATGCTTTGTGAGGATAGTGGGGAGATGTTGGGAGTAGAACCGCACTGGCCAAGCACTGGGGAGCTCTTGGTCACAATTTCACACGATGGCTTGGCCGGGCTCTTTTTTCCAAACGGGTTGGTGGTTTCAGCTCACGCTCTGTCACAACGTCGCACTTGACTGCTCACGTGCTGATGACAGCTCACGTGTCACGTGCTGATGCAGTTGTATAACGGATATAACGAAGATGCTGCACGGGTGAGAAGGGATGCTGAGTGATGGCATCACGGGTGCAAAGGCAATATAACTGATTGTTGTATTGCTTGAGAGTCAATTGATGCCTTGGATGAAACGCGTCAAAGGTCTCACGGCGAGATGTGCCATTCATGGGGAACAGAGGTGAACAGCTGAGACTCCTGTTAGCCTCACTAAGTTGCGGCGCCCGGTGATTGGTTACTGTTTTTTGTTCGACGTAAATCTCCTCTTGCATCCCAACATGGGATTTGACATCTTGACATGTTTCTTAGTTTCTCATATTGTTGCAATAGGGCATTGTCGTGCACGTAGTTGCTTTCTCTCCTTGATGTTTTGTGATTTATGATCTTCTGGTCTTACGGTCGCCAGTTGGTTTGTTGTTGCCTCTTTCCTTTCGATAGTCCAGTGTCATATCTTAAGGGGATTCAAGGGGGTAAGTAGAGCGACAACACGTCGCAAAGTGCACATGTAGAGGAACATGGTCTTCCCAGGGGCCATGCCATCCATTTCCACCTTACTTCCAGGGAGTGTATCTGAAACCACCACCAATAAATTTGGCTGTTCAGCTTTCAGCCAGGGACCCCGGGTGAGAGGAGCTTCTGATAGTGAATTCGTTGGAGTTTAATGGGTTGGTGGTTTCAACTCACGAACAAAGTCAGCGGGTTCAGTCTGTCATCCCAAGTAGTTGAACATAGGTTGAACATAAAGATTAGTGATTCTTAGATGAAACCACCCCAGCAAAGGCTTTTGAAAGAATGCTTGAGGCTCCCCAGCTGCGAAACCACCACCGCTCCTTGGTTTTTCGCTGATTTCGCCCAGGTGCGAAAGGCAGGGAGCAGCGACAGCGCTCTAAGCCTTGCAGGACCTCGGGTGAGAAGAAAGGCGAAGCTTGGCTGTTTCTATTCTACAATTACAATTGATTAACATAGTGTGATAAATATATATATATATATTTTTGTGAAGGATCACACAAACATCTACCAGTAGTAGCCAATGCTTTCCCTCAATCGATCATGGACACAACCAGTAGCCTTCATGAAGGGCAACATGACCGTCTGAGGGCCCAAAAATGATCGTGAGGAATGGGACTTGGTTGACTTCCAATCCAGCGAGTTTTTTGACATAGTCCAGGAGCCCAGATCGATCTTGAGGATCGACGCACTAAGGTTGGAGGTCATCGCTCTGTGGTTGGAGGCCATCGCTATTAGATTGAAGGCCACCGCACTTAGGTTGAAGGCCATCGCTCTTAGGTTGGAGGCCACTGCTTTTAGGTTGGATCCAGCATGTTGGGCCATCCCATCCTGATCCGCCGAAGGGACACTGTCAGGACATCTGCTGTGGGCACGGCAGAAACACAAAATACGTCCCGACATCTTGTCCTAACCGTAGAAAACAAGACAACCGACGCCTACACCCTCAGGATACTGCCATTGATCTGGACAAATATCCTTTTCGGCATGATGCACATGTGGACGACTTCAAGCTAAACCATCCTATGAAACAACTAGTTGCCTTTTTTTCAGGGTAGTCAAAACTCTCAACCTCAATAAAAACACTTCCAGGCCATTTGGCAGAGGGGATAGTAGTAGTAGTAGTAGTAGTAGTAGTAGGAGGGAGAGAGACCTGAGCACACTTGCAACTAAAAAAAGTGTGACTGAGCACACTTGACCTGAGCACACTTGCGCGAGAGAGAGCACAAAGGAGAACTTAAAAGTTAAAGGGAAAGCACAAGGCAAGGACAAGCCAGCAGGGCTGGAGGGGAGTTGATTATTGTAGGTTTGTTCATAATTGCAGGGGGTGGGAGTCTAAAGGGGTACCTTTTGAAGATAACTTGTTGTATTTGTTTGATAGGGCTTGAATATGGAAACCTAAAGCTTTTGGCTAGCCAAAGTTGTTGTTTTGGCTAGGCTCTAGCAAAAAGACTCAGTTTACTCTGGCCAAGTTCTGGAGTCCTGACAAGCGAAAGAATTCTGAGATTTCTGACATGAAAAGAGAAAGCATTCTGAAAGCATTTTGGGGCCTGGATGTTGTCGCAATTAAAAGTAGTATTGCAAAATCCTGGCAGCCCAAAAAACACATTATTATTGTCTCATGTTTATACTTGATGCAACGATTTTGTTTTATCCATTTTGGGGTCTGGATGTTGACGCAATTAAGAGTAGTATTGCAAATTCCTGGCAGGCAAACAAGTTCATTTTTATCGTCAAATGGCTCATAAATGACATGTTAACATTAGTAGCGATGCCAGGAGCTACTAGTAGCGTCCTTGCTCTTAGTAGCGATGCCCTTTGTTACTTACTAAGTAGATGAAACATGATGAAACTAACTGAAAAAAAGAAATCATGAACATGACCAGGCTCAAAGCGAGCCGATTTGGAGGCGTCCAGGAGGCGTCCGGCGTCAAGCATGGCGTCTATAGTTATACATGTAGCCGCATGAAGCTTTCTATGATCGTGGGCCGATCTGGCCTCCATTTTCGCAGAGTGTCACCTTCTATTCTGTGTCAGATCGTGTTGGCAGCACGCGGGACGTTTATACATGAGATGTTAACATTAGTCAAGAGGACGCTCCTAGTAACCATCGCTAGTCGCTAATTACTTCCACCCTGTTGGGGGTCGCCCCGCACTTCTGGCCGTTCCAGGTCTCCGAGCCCGGGAGGGCGTGGGCCGCAATCTCAGCAAGGAGACAAACTTGAAGCTCTCCTGTCGTCGAACACATTTCTCTAAGATCTAAACCAACCATTGCAAACACCCTGACCCCCAAAAGTTCAGTGTTGAACATGACTTGATTGAATTTGTGTTTCCAGGGTTTGATTTGTTTCGTCCACTATAGACTATATATATATATGTAAACGTAACATAACGTCTGAAGCTCTCCGGTCTCCAGTTGAAATGTGTGTTTTTCTTTTAAAGCAATGTTCACTCTCCGGATGAGACGCCGAATTCGACAGGCGCCTGCACGGAAATGGACATGGACAAACAGGTGGAGTCCGAAGTGAAGACTGAACATCTCCCAATCGACTTGGAAAATTCATTGGACATCCAGAAATCCACCCACCCTTGGTAGCTATCATAGACCCCATCCATCTAGACCCCCAACAAGGCCCAGCGGTCAAGACTGCATGTGGGATCCGAAAGCTATCCTGCTTTGTTGCATGGATGCGCCATGCAATCAAACGAAATGGACTGATTGTGGATTGACTCGCATGTCGCCACTCAAGAACCCTTTTGATCTCACAATGACTCGGCACTCCGAACGGAGCGCAACGCTCCGCCGCTCCGCTCCGGTGGCGGCGTCCCCTTTCGGCGTCTCCCACGGCTGCGCGTGCGTCCTCGATAATCCCGGCCGTCAAGACCCATTGCACGGCCTCAGGCCGTGGACGAATCGGGCCACAGACAGGGGCCCCAATCCAAATCCCAATTCATCACTGAAAGGAGGTGGCCAAAACAGGAATCATCTGGAATTGTCTCCCAAAGCCGCTTGGAGCAACAGAATGGTGTTGACTGTGAATCTGGAGCAATCTACTTCCCTGGGAGCATCAGAACAAAAACGGCTGACGGAGGCGGAATGGTGGACCTGGCTAAAGAAATTGCAAAAAAGGCACCAAAAGCAGAATTATGCAATTTATAATGATGTATGTATATATAATAACTATATATATATATACAGTATATCCCCGAGACTAGCTGATGGTGGTTTCGGTCTTCTCCAAAGAATATGGAAGATTATGGAAGAACTATATGGTCTGCGAGTCTGCGACTCCAACATGTCATGATCGCTCTTCCATCCAAGAGGCGTTCGCCATGATGCATCTGGCGGAGGTGTACTCCCATGGCCTCATGGCCCCATCCGGTGACGTGGGCCGATCCGGGGGGGATGGAGCAGGGCCCAGCAGATGATGGTCAGTAGTAAAGGCCTCTCTCAAAACAAGACCAAACCATGAGGGGCCGGACATCTGTGGTTCAATTGGAGATCTTTGGATCCTGGGCAGGATCAACTGGCAGTCCATTGGATTCTGGTGGTCTTTGGGACGAAATCAAGTCAGTGTTCACTTGGAATGTGATGACAAGATTGCTGCGGATTCAAACCACCTCTAATTTACAATATCCTAAAATTATCCAGAATGATCCAAAGCGATCCAAACACCACTGATCTTGGAGGCATTTGGAGGCTCTGGCAAACATGTCTACTCAGCCCTGTTGGACGGCTCAGCCTTGCCCCATGGGTTGCCCTTCGTTTCGGGATTCGATGTTTTCCCTCGCGACCGCCCAAAGCCATGTTGAACGGTCTGCTTTTCTAAAACAACTTAGCTATACTACTACACCATTGGCTAGTCTGGCTATATAATTATATTAGACCCAAAGCTCTCCTTGCACGCTTGCCCGCCAGCCCAGCCCTTCTTGCTAGGTCACCAATTGTCCGCCGGATACGTAATGTAGCCTGGGGCCGCTGGAGTGCAGTGGCAGGGGGAAGAGACAGGACTTGTTGTCTGTTGGTTGAAGGCCGGTTGTCTGCAAATGAGTTGAAAGCAACTTGCCCAAAACCAAACCAGTCTGGTCTGTATCGCAATTTTTGTCCCACCAAACACACACATATTGTGACATGTGGCCCAGGGGGGGTGGCGAAAGCTAGGGAGGGACAAGTGGTTGGGGAAGGAGAGAAGGAAAGAAGCGGGGAGAATTGCGTTGCAGGTGCGATCTTTTTGGAAACCTAGTAGGCGCAACTCGATTCCTGACCAAGTGTCACCTCAAGAAAACCAAACCACGCCTCACCTGAGAGTGTCTATTCGTTGCGTTGCAACAAGTGCAGCAACCCTGAACCGCATGAATGGCATCAACCGTACCATGACACGAGTTGGGGCAGCGTGACAATAATATAGTTAATATAGGATGCACAAAGGGAAAACTCAACTACTGCCATGCTTCCACCAAACATCACCAAACTCTTCATCACCCGCTTCCCCCACCGAACTCTTCGCTCATGCCCCAACACGTCAGCAGCAACCAGCAAGCAGCCAAAGGCAATCAGCAGCACCAAGCATGCAAGCAGCAAGAGACCAAGCAGCAGCAGGTACTGAGGAGAAGGGTGGAGTTGAACCCGCGGGGGGGGGGTAAAGCCTGATAAATCAGGTATCTGCACTCAGGTCCTCGGCTCCCACCCTCCTTGCTAAAGCAAGACAGAATCCAGCTAGCTACAGCTAGCTTTCGTGACAAGGCTTATTATGTCAAGGAAAATATTTTCACAACCAATGTCTATTGGAAACAATCGGATTGGGCTTACATATTTTCCCGCGCCAACAGGCCATACCCTGATGTGAGACAGATTTGGTGCAGGGTGTGCGTGGCCAAGCACTCGAAACGCTGCCATGCCCCTCTGTTAATCCTATCCTTCCATAAACGTTGTAGGAAGAAACACACTGGCACCAAAACAAACAACTAATTATATACCGTACAAAAACATCCACAACATGGTGCCTCTGACCCTCTCAGGTGGTGCCAGTATCTTTCTTCAACAGGATCCCCAAGAAGACCTTCCGAGTCTAAGAGACCTTCTGCCCAGGTCATGGATCCTCAATAGGAACTTCCTCTACCAGGAAGGTGCCTTTGCAACGGTGGTCTTCTGTCAAAACTTCTTGCAAGCATGATGGGAATGGGGACAAACAAACTAGTTGGTCAAATGGAATGGGTCAAATATTGTGAAATGGAACGGATGAAGACCCACAAAAAATGAGTCAAATGAAGCATCCAAGCATATTTCAAGCTAATTTGGCCTCTTCCACCGCTTCCGAATGCCTGAAACCCAGCGGTTCCGCACCAAACCCGGTTGCCCTCACCGAGTGCGAGAAGACTCGACCATCCGAGAAGCAGAGTGGATCCAGCCACGCCCAAAACTGCACCATGCCCCAGTTGCAAAGGGAACACATGCCAACGCTCAAGGTCCCCGTGGTGAACCAAATGCTGACCTGGCAAGGGAGACTGACCCGAGAACAACCGGAGCATCTATCATCTGAAGGAAACCAGCTCAAGCAAGCAGTTGATTCACTGGGAGCCAAATTTCAAATAGATTGTGGTAGTCAATGAAGTCCATGAATTTGCAAGAGGAGCTGTATACTGATGCGGCGGCAAGATCCTCAAACAGTGAGTACTTGACCCACTGTTTCAGAATCGAGCAACCCTCACAACCACAGGTTTCAAGTCTGGATTGCCAAAAATGTACCATTATGATCATTATGATCCATTATGTGTATACCTTCCACCAGGTCGTACCAACCGCTACAAGCCCCAAACCGAAGCTAATCGCTGGTTGGATTCATCAGTCTCCACCAGAAACATGTCCCATCAGGGCTGGGGCTCTCAATTCCCGTCTGAGGTCGGGATTTTCAGGTATTCTTGGTTGGAAGCTGGGCCTCAAAGAACAGGAAGTGAACCAAAGATTTTGGAAGGTCATGTTGGAGAAGAACCTCTATGGAATTCGACATAGACATACACATTGCAGATTTGCTGCAAGTTTTTCTTCTCTGGGGCTGGGGCAAGACAGGTTTGCACACCTGGCTGAGAGTTTTGAGCCGTTTTGCACGTCCCCATGGAAACATTCCAGGCTCTTCGTCAGACAAGGTGCTAAGAGTCCCAAAGGCACTTCACCTGGCAAACGGCACGCTCAAAGCAGTCCGAGATTCTTAGCAACAGGTCAGAGGCCTCTCCCAACAAAGAACACCAGAATCTCAGTCAAACCCTGAATGAAGGTCGGTCAAGCCTTTCAGAAAACTCCCCGAAAGAAACGGATCTCTATCTCCTCTCATTCGAAGACACCGAACGGTCGTAGACCTCCCATTTGTTCAACCCCCAAGAAAGGTCAAAAGCATCTTCAAACCCACATGAATTGGGTGGCCCTGACGGTGGCCCTGACCATTTCTTCAGCTCTGCACCAAAAAACCTCGCAGATCCTCCCATCAGGCCTTCTCGGGTGGTGCTCCGCCAAAGGTACCAAACCCACCTGGAATTGCTGGAATTGTTTGTGCGAGTGGTCGAGCCATCTGATCTCTAAACCTGTCAGGTATTGAGTGGCAAGGTGTTTTACTTTTTCCGGAACAAGAGTCTGAGGCCAAATCCGGCAAACCCAAGTTGTTTCACGTTGTCCCTGATAGGTATTCAGATATATTCAGTATAATATCTAAATCCGTATCCAAATACAGTATATCCATACACACAGCAGGATATCTCTACACCAAGTAAAAACATGTGCAGTGGGTGCATTTAGTCACATCAATGTTTCTCAAAATTATATCAAATTTATGGTGCACCTCTCTTGGCTAGATGTCAATGCGACCCCCTCACCTCGGATCATGGTCACATCAATCTAATGGTTTGGCTTAGGGGAAGGTATCTGAGTAGTGGTCAATGCATGGTGCCTATCACATATTCAGTTTCCAAACAAGGTAGCCTAAGATTATCGTCCAGAGTTCGTCCTTAAATAGCTTAGCGTCACATATTGAACCTAAATCATGTTCAGAGATTTGGAATCCTGCATTGACGCTGTCACACTCAAGCGCCAGCCAAGTCTGATGGTTCTGTATATTAAACCGTCGCAAGTTCGACGAGTGAGAAGGACGTCAACTCTCAGCCCTAGCGCCAAGTTGCATCAGGGCAGCGATGAAGGTACCTTGGACCAAAAATGGGTGTGAAGCGGGCGAAGCGAACATCTTCGACATCAATCCTGGGTCCTACCGCTTGGAGAGAGTCAGACTACCCCATGTACTCGCACAGCTCCACCTGCCAAATGTCTCAGGTTTGGGGAGTTCATTGAGTTCATGTCAAACAAAAGCGTTAAAACGGCTGAAATTCCACAGTTCCCGATCGGGCCCTCTTACACCGGGATGGCACCGTTTCAGGATCGCTCCCGTACCGCTCTTTCCAAACGTCAGACGGACCGCTCGTTCCTCCCACATCAAATCCGATCGAAAGGTCTCTGTTCCAACCGTTGGCCATGAAGCCCAAACCTTGAGGGTGGCACATGGCTTGGCGCATGTGGTCCTTTAGGTCGCAATAGCTCCTCTCACTCAGAGTCTCTCTGTCTCTCTATATATATATATCAACGCTTGTTCCCTGAAGAGGGCTGATCATTCAAACTGACGTCGTGTCCTGAAGATGAGATCTCCTCTTCCGGCTCATGTTCTGCGACTTGATCAACGACGCAGTATCACGAACCATAATCGAAGCAGGAGATTCCTTCTAGGAGACTGGCCGGCCACCCGGAAACCTGAACTGAACACATACATGACGAACCCTGAACCAGCTTCAAAGACTACGCTCTTCAGAAGTTGATTTGCATTTGACTGGGCCAGGGGTTCTATGTTCTATATGGTTCTATATGTGTTTTTTGTTTAATTCTGTGTGTCAGTTCTTGGCTTGTTTTTGCCTCGCAAAACAAGCATTCCTGGTTCTTTGATTCTCAGGGGGGATTCAGCCGAGAGTACGGATGCCCGTACAGCGAGATGGCCGTTTTCCAGCGAGGGTTTCCTGCTCCCTCGGCAACCGCTTTTGGACCAATGGACCGGGTGTCTCAGTGATCGACTGGAGGGGTCGGACGGTCTCAGTGATCGACTGTTGATGAATAAAACCCATCCATTTGGATTGAACAACCTCTGCATATTTTCTTAAACAGTCTACATTGTGCGAGGGGCCAAATCATTCTGGTCGTTGTGGTGGCGCGAGTCTTAATTTCTCCGACGTTGCTCAAACTCCTCTGCCCAGCTGCAAAGATACATCCGCGACACGCACCACCACGTTCGAACGCAAAGCCCTTGGTCTGTCCACCTGGGTTGGCAAGGTGGACCAAGGGAGAATGTCCTCCTCATGCCCAAAACAAGTGCGACATGGAAGAGTTTGGGGCAGTGGCTCAAAGGACAACGACATTCTGGTGCTTTCTTCTGGATTAAAAAACAGTTTCAATGAGATACATAAGCTTCCACTATCACTGACTTCCCTGGAAGCAAACGTGTACTTGAGACCGGCATTTCATCTGTTCAGAACTGGTAACTGGCCTGTTGACTTTCAAACATATATAAACCTGTCCACATCCTCTCACCATGAAACTGTCTGGGATAACAACAACTGACGAACCTGCCCACTTTCGCGCCCAGCCACTGCAGCGCCGTCATGACGAGCGCCGCCACGTAGAGGATGCTAAAGGTGCCCACCTCGGGCGCGGTTGCGCCGCAGACGTCCGGCCGGATTGCTTCCATGTTTGGCCCCCATTTCACATGGAAGAACTCAACCCGGTTCTGCATCAACGAATCCCACCATCTCCCCCATCGTATGGATGACCCCCCCAATAGGGTCTATGAGCCCTTTTTTGGGGTATCGAGTGAACCAACTGAGCATCAAGTATAGATCATGCTGCACAAAACACATCAAGCAGGTCTAGCAAACCAAGCACCTACCCCACATGCCGCTACGGCATGCTACGGCTATGTATTCCACGAGCCGTAGTTCCACGAGCCATAGTAGTTGGGATAGTGCCCTGTCTGGAAACGATAAGCAATGACAAACATGGTGCCAACAATGGTAAACCAATTTTGGTCCCTGGCATCGCTACTAGGGGCTCCTGGCATCGCTACTAGGAGCAAGGTACTAGGAGCAAGGACGCTACTAGGGGCTCCTGGCCCTACTACTAGGAGCAAGAAGCTACTAGGAGCAAAGGGCATCGCTACTAGCAACCCTTGTCCAGTTGCTCTTCTCCTCGTTACTTTCTACGAAGCTACGATGCAACACATGCCAGCGCTAGCTGTCCTGCCAGAGATTTGTCGCCGGGCAACCCAAAGATGGACCCAACATTTTCTTCCCCTGGCAGCTGCGGGGTTCAATGCATCTCACAATGACACTTCATGCAGCAGGCCGGCCAGCTCTATCATTGTTTCGTGTGTTGTTGTATCTTGCAAATTCAGCAACACCTTGCATGACCTCTGCAAAGGAAACACCATGGACGCACTCCAGAACGGGTGAACACTTACCACACTTACCTTGCGTACTCTTGGCATTCACCTATCAAAGTATATCAAAATCTGATTGAACATTGACCAACATCCCTGCACTGTTTACACGCATGCAACCCGAGAGTGGACATCAAGCAGCTAGAGATCAAGCCGTTTGGTCCACTTGTTGTTGCAAAGTTGCTTCGGGGAACTCAATCCTCTGATATTGGATAAAGTCAAAGCACTTGGTCAAAGTGTTGCTTTGGGCCTAAGTAAGAGACCATAGTACAGAAAGTTATAGTTTGTTATTATAAGCTTTTCCCACTATCCCATTGCTTTGTTAATTCCACACCCACCCACTCGAGCAAAAAGATCCAGATCTGTTGAAGCCTGCGAAAAAAAAAAAAAAAACAAGCTCCAAAACAAGCTCTGTGTCCGGGTAACTCCCAGGACATCGCATTCTGGCGCTCACTATCGATCCCAAGCACCACTATCGAACCCACAAGCATTTTGTGCGGCCACACGGATCGCACTGCGACGGATCGCACATTTTGACGCGAAGGCCAAACCAACCAAAGGCCAGGGAGACCTTGCAAAGACATCCTGGAAGAAACATATAACAGAACCCATTGGCTCGAGGTCTTCCAGTAAAATACACATCCATAATGTGATCGACATGTCAGCATCACCCGCCACCCACTCCGCGCGTGCCGCCTGCCTCACGTGTCGGTCTGTCCTAGGAGTGAGCTGAGGCCTTGGCGAGGTGCCGGCATTTCGTTGGTGCCGGCGATGGGCGTGGGATGAGATGGATCGTCCTGAAAATGACCAGCTATATCATATATCGAGTACCATATTACAACAACCGTCCGTTCACCGTCAGGATACTGTGTAGGGCATTTCAAGTCTTCTTGGCACCGCCCGTGCAAGCGTCAAGACATAACTGTTCTATAGGG